TATGTGGAAAATGTATGCAATACATTATTCTTTAAATAGAATACTTCAATTCTTTATGGTCAAATTTCATAGAAGACATTATGGATTTGTAAAAATAGCTAAGTATTTGTTAAAATGTATGGTTCACAGAGTAATTACAAATTCATTAGATCACAATCTCAAAATAATCGTATTGGAACATTTTTATCCCCAATTACTTAAATGAGCATTTCATGAGATGTTTTGTTCTCTGCTGTTATTCATAGAAAGACTTCATAATGTTCGTTACAAAATTGTTACAAATGTGATACCGCATTTCCTATCTACCTCTCTTTAAATAATATATACATACACATTAATATAATTCAGTCATCAGAACCACCTGTTCGTTTTGCTTTTCGCTGCCTTGGACTCTGTTTTGGGGTTCTTGGAGATTTGTCTGCAAAAATTGTATAAATATCATAATTATCAAACTAATAATATATTCATTTAGTACATAAAACTTACTGAGCCGGTTTAAAGTTTCTTTTGGTATCCAGTCATAATCTACATTGTTAGGGTTGGATGTACCCATTTCTATAGGTACTTTACGAGAAGTAGAAGATCTAGATTTACGACCGAGAGACGAAAGAAGTTGTTGACCTCCGACGAGTGTAAGTATTACACATGCGGCAAGGAATACATACAAGAAAACTGTTTCTCCATCGAGACCATCATCTAATTCTACAATTTGGACTGTTTCATTATAAACAGCTTCACTGAAATTGATGCCATTCTGTAAAATCGTATATTATTAATTTCTTTAGTTAATATTGTATCAATACGTAAATATGTGTATATATATATATATTATTTATTACATACAGAATCTCTGTAGTTCAGATTAATATTAAAACCAAATGGCCTGCCAGCTAGGTTTTCAGATGGAATGAATGAATATGCTAATGTTGCCTCTTGTTTTGGTTTCACAATTTTATTGTATGTAACAGTTGAGAAGTTTTGAATGTAGAAGTTAAAATCCATTGCATAACGGAAAGAAGCATCCAATGATTCTAGAACAAAATCTGATTCACCCTTGTTGGTAAAACCAATAAGTAACTCAACTAGATTTCCAGCTGGTAATTCTGAAAAAATTATTTAAACATTAAAAACTTGTTCTAAATTCATAGAATATAATCTTAAGCTAAAAAATTGATGTATCTATACCCAATGTAGACAATCCGTTATAAACAGGTCTAGTAAACAATATAGTAGTGTCAGCATCAGACGATGCAGTAGTTGGTTCTTCTTCTGGTTCTTCATCTGTTATTACAGAATTGTCTTCACCTTCGACATCTACTATGTCATCTATATTTTCATCTTCTTGGGCATAAGCTGTAATAAACAGAAAAAATATAAGTACATATTTATGCAAATAAAATCAATTTTTTTTGTATTACTCATTCGAATGAATCAATACTGTTTGTATTAAAACTAATTGCATACTTTCTACTGTTAAGTGTAACTATGGTATGATTTCCAAAAACAATTTGTTAATGTCATATCTGAAATGATATTCTATTTCGTGAATAATACAGTTATGAATGATTTTTCAATGGGAACGTTATTTAATAATAGTAAACAATACAACAAATTATGAGATGAATTTACTAGTATTGATGCATATTGAACACATGTGTCAGAATTACAAACGATTGAACTAAAATGTATTTTAGGTACTATTCTTTATTGTACATTACCTCGATTCGCGGTGAGAATAATTGGTGAAATGAATAATAACAAAAAAATGCTAAAGTTCTTCATTTTGTTTCGCCTTGTTTAAAACACCTTTTCTGTTATAAATACAGATTTCCCTCACTTCCCAACCATACACTTCAATACCGACACCGGACTGCACGCTTCGACATAATACAATAGCCTACCATTGCTATTTGCGACGTGGAAGATCAGCGCCGTAATCGTCAATTCTACAACGTGGAACATCAACGTTGGCATTAAATACATGGTGATAAAAGAATAGTTTTATCTTACCAACTTGATGCGTTCGATCACTAGCACTAGTGTCGCAGAATCATGCAAAATACACCAGAGGCGAAACTCTACCTCTGACACACGGTCATGGACCATAAGGACAGTGCCTAGTGCCTAGTACGTATATGGGGTGGGTAACAATTTGACCTTGACGGAGTGATCGTCGCGCTGCAGTTGTGCGAACGGACATTAGAACAAACCAAATTAGAAATATTTTCGACTGCCAGGTGGCACACGTATATATTTCTGTGACCACAGGTATCGAACACGATGTATCGGTAAAAATGCGAATTGTGTATCTACAATCGTAGATTGTATGTAGATAAGTAGATATGTAGATAAGTATGTAAATCTACAATTCTCGCACGGAATTCACTGCTACTCTCATTCCGAGTCACCTCAGGTTATTTGGACTCGGGTCCAGTATATGTATTCATGAAAAGTCACTAGGCAAGGAGTGAGGCTAGCAGCGCGGTGCGTCTACCGGGTGAACAATATAATTCTAAACTACGGTGATGACACAACGCACAGCCTCTGTCTGATCGTGGTTTAGAATTCAATCAAGAGCGAGAGAAAACGACTCACATTCACCTTTTCTCATTTCTAGAAGTTATTTGAAATGATCCATAGCATCGAGTTCACGTACATGCGGAAGTAGGGTGTGGTTGGGTGCAATTGGGTGTATGCGTAGCGGCGGCTAAACTGAACTGACTTCTTCATGAAGATCTGCAATCGGGGCTATGAATACATATATGCCTTCGCTAAACCACCTTCAGCCGGGACTTCGGGACTATGAATACAATCCTTACAACATTGTTTGAGTCGTTTATGATAAAAGTTCCAAGATTTCTCACCAGGGAGCTGGAAACAAAGTAAAATATTGTATTCTCTCTGATAAGATAAAATATAAAAAAAGGATTAATTCGAAATTAAATTCGCTATTACACAATTGAACATCTTCGTCAAACAATATTGTTTACGGAGAACCACGCATTAATTAGAAAAACGTATACGTCAAAATAGTTACATATGCATATACGGTAGTGCCTCACCATCGTAAGCCCAGACGGAGACAACCGGCTTAGAATTATGAAGCAGGTAGAGAAATGCTTTGCAACTAAATAATAGTAATAATACCACCCTCACGGTTCTAGACGAAGAGAGGAAATGGCGAGTGAGCAAGAGAGCACGACATCGGCACAACCATAAGCGAAACAAGTCACACCGACGACCAATATAGCTTGTTTCACTTTAGCATGTTTGCGATCTCACTCTATTCGCGCATCCATTGGCCTGGTGCTCCATCTGAAACACCCGGCATGATATTCGACTTGTACAGTCCAGCGTATTTGCGAACCTCTTGAAACGGCGACCATTTCTACAATTATTAAAATGTTCGAAAACCCGTAAGCTACATTTTAGATAATACTTTCTAGTTTATGAATCTACAAAATTTTGTTAATTCAGCCATCCCAGTATTTGTTAACTGCGACGGGCAGCAAACAATGCTCTACTCTATGAGAAGGATTTTCGAAAGCAACGAATAATTTCGCAATTTTATACGATTTTTACTTCCAAAAATTTGAAAAACGAAGCTGTAACTTACATTCATATTCTCTTAGAAAGGCTACATATTTAATGTAGTAATTACCTACAAAAAATTCTCAAAATCAGAGATTTTGCATATATATATAAGGAAATGGCTGTGTTGTTTGTGTGGGTCTGGGTTACATTCTCATTTGTGAAGTGAATAAGAACTTACCTGCTTGCAGGTTGTAAACTGTCGGGTCGGGTTTACAACCGCTAGGAGCATAAAATTCGGGAAGACCTAGCTAATGGCAGGACTCGGACAGAAGTAGTTTCCGCAGGTACCGTTAATGCTTTTATTGCTGAAAATAATTATTTTCTGAAATAAATACCTTTTTCCTCGAAACCGTTATTTCATAGCATACAAATTGAAAAACTGCATATTTATTCCATGAAGAAAATTATTTAAATTACTGTATGCCAAGTGAATTGGTTTTTAATGTCTAAAATTTTAATGTCTTAAAACTACGTGAAGATAAAAAAATAGAATAGTTTGTTCGAATAAATAGATGGAATAGCTTGTTCGAATAAATAGATGGAACAGATCGATAGAATAAATAGATGAAACAGTTTATTCCAATAAATAGGTGGAATAGATTGTTTGAATAAGTAGATGGAATAATGAATAATCGTTATCCGAATAAAATATTAGACAGATAAGAATCCATTCGGACACAATTATATTAGTGAAATATTTACTTGAAACAATTCGAATAATTTCGAATTTTGCCCAAATTTCGAGCCACTAAGTGGCCTTTTCGGCCGAGTTGCTCCGTCATTGCAAGCGCGCAGGAACCGGAAGCATGGGCCAAGATATGCGCACCAACGATCTGCGCAGGTTTGGGGTGATGGTGGAATTTCGCCTGAGCGTGAAAGTATGGCGCGAGGTTAATCCAGAAGTACTGGCTGCGAAATTCGACTTTACGCCTTTTTCGATCGAACCACAGAAGCAACAACAAACCTCCTGTCTTCCACAGGCTCCTCTATTTAATAATGATGATCCTTTTCAAGGCCTCAAATTCATGCAAGCAGGAAAGTTCGTCCCTATTCACTCCAAGAAGTGGGAATGTCAATGCCTGAATAAAATACAATTTTCTACGTAACCCAATTCTATAACTAATATTAAATAACTAGTAATATAGTAATACTAGTTTCGGTGTAGATTGCAGATTATAATATGATTTTTGCGACGACGGCGGAGCAACTCGGTCGAGTAGGCCTTTACCTCTACCCACATTTTGCGCACTTCGTGGCCTGAGATTTGGGGTTGTAAACTTCCCGGCCCAGCGGACCCGAGGCAGAGTTCGAAATTATTCGAATTGTTTCAAATAAATATTTCACTAATACATATAATTACCGGAATGAATTCTTGTCTGTCGAATTTATTTATTCGGATAATGATTATTCATTATTCCAACAAATTAGTTCATCCACTTATTCAAACCATATGTTCCATCTATTTATTCGATCAAACTATTCCGTTTATTTATTTGCACTGTACAATTATTCGAATCATAAAGCGGATATTTGTTAACTGTATTTGTTTTTACATAGTTTTATGGAGATACATTTATACAACGACATTGAAGATCAGTTCAATTAGCATACAGTAATCGAAATAATTTTCTTTCTTTCTGGACCTGGTCGCTTGAAAATTCTTATAGATAACGATTTTTTCGAGCACACGCTAGGCGTTTTCATCTGGTCTTTTTTCTTTATAACGGGAAACGCAATGAATGCTTCTTCGCCGAGCACTTCCGTATTGCAATTGTAAGAAATTAATCGTTTTTTAAATAGTTTTTCGGCAACTATTCAGAAAACGCGTGAATGAGAACTTTCAAGCGATTAGGCCCTTTCACTTTTATGACCTGTCCTTGAGACCCGGTCGTTATACGGCACGCATTCGGGGGTAGAATTTTCGCATCCGGAAATTCCTCCCCTTCCACGTTGCGAATCCGCATATTAGACGCATGTTAATTTTGTTACGAGCCGAGGGCCAAACAGCTCTGCGTAGTAGATGTGATTTTGGATTTTTGGATTTACGTGGACTAGCCGATGCCTCTTTCATTACCGGGTTACCCCATTAGGTAACTTATAAAAAACTTATTTTTGACTTTAAATTACTACTTTTCTTATGATCACTTAACACACACGATGTTAGTAGATCGCCGTCTATAATTTAGAAAAACACGTTGCCCGTAGTGATCAAAAGTTTGGCCACCCCTTGTTTAAAGGGATACATACATATTTCGTGGACCAGCCGATGATACTTTCATCATTGGGTCGCCACTAGATTTAGCAGGATATTTCATGGACTAGCCGCTAGGTTTAAAGGATAGTGCCTGGACTAGCCAATGCTTATTTTATCACCGAATCACCACTAGAGAAGTAGATGGATAGAAATAAGATTTTAAGAAATTAGGAGGAAAAATTCTTTACGGTATATTAAAGTAGAGTCAAAATACAAAGAACTTTCGATTTATAGTATAAAACGTTACTTACATAATTAAAGAAATATAAGAAAACATCGAATTTGCTGGTTTCGGTCTGTCTCTCTCGATCATCTCTCGCTCTCTTTCTAAAGCAACTGCGCGGACCTGAATGCGCAATAGAATGGTGGGGATAAAAATGCTTACTATCGTGAGGCAGAATGGCTTACTATGGTGAGACATGAGTGTATCCTACGTTCTTGACGCGTGCTGTAGTGATAGTTCCGTGTGACTTCGTTAACTAAATATTAAGTGCTTATGTATATTTAAATAATTGTGTTACTACATTTTCATCAATAGTTAAAAGTTTAATAACCAAAGTGAAATGTACATGCGTACATATGTATGCAGGTACATACATGAATGAAGATCGTAATTCTTCTATTAAAGCATTAGATGGCGTTGAGAAACGAGAAATATTTTTTATAGTACATTAGCTTGCATAAACTCCATTTCGCTTTACATTTACTGTTTTGTGTATGTATGTGTACATTACTTGTGTTTCGATAGATGGTATCGTTTATACCGTTTGAGAAACCTATATTTGAACGTTTTGATTTGTTCCTTCTTTGTTGCGAAGTGGTCTTTAAATTTCAAAATGCTTCGAGTACTCTAGCAGACACCAATAATGTATTAAATATTTCATTAAATCCTAAATTCGTTGATTTGTAGATTCAAAGTCGCACGGTTATATTATCTTTTGTAATTACATATGTACATCGTATATTGTATATGAAATATATCTTTTGAATCAATTTCAAGAAAGAGATCAAGCCAACTACATTAGATATACGTTAAAATAATTACTAGGAATCAATAGCGAAGTCATATTTATTAAATAGAAGTAGATTATTTGATCTTAGCAATCCAGATAGTTAATTCTACGATTTCTCATATATTTGTTATTAATTTTTATTAGAAAATTAAGTTAAATATTCAATCTTTTAACATAGTCGAAAAACTATTTTATTTTCAGACATTTATACCAGTTATAGAAATGCAGTTTATGGATTTATTCAAATTATTTTTATTACTTAATTTTCTATTAG